CACAGTGTTGAAGTGTTTTCTCTTCCTCACCCAGGAAAACTGGCGTTTCCCTAATTGGTGGAGATAATTATTTCCACCAAAATTATTTAGTTATACATATTCATATACCATAGATGTGTTCATTCGTTCGTTCAATGTGTTCACTGACAGCCGTACGATTCATGGTTAGAATTTTGGGTTCTCACCCGGGAGGATAAATAAATTCTACAAACAGCTGATGAGTCAGAACAAGCGCGAAACTGCTGACCAGTATTTTTGTCGATTAGTGCATACAACTTATACCACAAATAAAAGTCACTGTACCAGTATAAAATTCGATGGAAATAATCAATAAACGGTGTTGACTCATGGATACCGTTTTATGAAAGCAGATAGACAACAGTAATGTTCAACATTATCTCATAGTTTGGTTTGAGTGCCTAAGGGTGTACGACTATTGTTCACTCTTTATTTCTACTCCTGTATTTCGAAGTTGTCTGGATTGGAAAACCATTTGATCAAACAGTGGCAAGTAAGAGAGCTATGAAGCCGGCCGAAAAGTCACTGAATAATACCAATGCTAACAATATCATTTTTGTATTTTTTGTCTGAATAGTTAATTGCCCAATCAACCTCCAGGGGCAAGGTTGCAGTGAAGTGAATGGTGAAGCACGGTGATACAGCGATGAAGAAGAAATGAAGAAGACGTCGACAATCTCTGTGATTATGCAATTGTGATTGATACCTTTTACCATTATTTATAAGGTTAATCGACAAACACTGATGGATAAAGTAAGTGGATACAACAAACTTTACTAAAGAAGTTTCAAAATGGTCGCTTGAAATTTCTTATGAATAGGAGTTCAATGAAAATAAAGTTATCTTTTTCATCTTTACAAGGAAATCTTGCCTTTTTCTATTTATATAAATAAAGCAATCCTAAATTATGATGATGTTCTCTGAGAATGTAGTGAACTTTTTTTTTCCTTTAGAAAGTCATACGTGCTTATGTATGAGACTAGTCATCGAAATTTGCAACCACTATAGGTAAAACAACTTTGTTTTTCCAGTTCAAATAACTAAGATCATCTGGTCAACTTTACCGACCCATGAGATTTCGGAAACCTATAATGCGATCTGCCAAGTAATAAATGCACCATTTGCTTTCATGCGTTTAGCATTCAATCAGTAAAGGCTCCACCCTCCGGCCTCATTTCTTTCCAGATCATAAAAGATCTTTTTATCTTAGGCACGATCTGGGTGCACAACGTTGCTGAAAACCAGGGATGTCTTTTTGCAGCCATTTTTCGCGCAAAATGGCATACCGGATTTGTTTCGTACGGTGAATAAACGAAATAACCAAATCAAAAATGAATTCGATTTCCTACATTTGTGACTTCCACCGGACGAGACATGATACCATCGCTATCCGGTTTTTTGCATATTCACGCAACTAAAGCCACCTAGACTGGACATTCCCCCACATGCTGTGTGTGTATGTGTGAACACACCTCCCCAAAATCATTTTGATTGTACTTTTGTTAACCGGGCGTCGTTTATCCGGTAAAAAGTTGCTTTATGGCCGGCTAATCGCAAACACATTGGATAAGGCCAAGGCATATGCGGTGCATATGCCTGTGCAGAAGCACGCTTCCGGGCCGGCATCTGCGACAGCAAACCAGCTGTATTTCCCGGGCATTCGAACACACGCGTTTGTATAAGGGAACATCTTGTACGTGTGTGCCATCTGCTTGCCGTGGTGGACACGTTCTACTTGGACGTTACTCGGTCTGAATGTGGGCATATACACATGTGTGTGTGTGCACCTTGGCCGTAAACACCTACAGGCGAGAGGAAAAGCGACCCATGCAGTGCTTGGTTCACGGTCGATGTGATGTAAACTCGTATACACGCGTGCGTCTGTGCACCCATCCTAGAAGAAGGCAAGCATCCAGTCGGCACAATCTGACCTTGATCGGTTAAATGGCTCATTGTCATTGGTAGTTAGACCGGCCGGCACAAGCCCAAACCTATCCGGCGAATTTATTCCATACAAAGCAATAACAACACCAGCAGGCAATAATCACGCATTAGAGGGGTTGGGAGTGGGGGTATAGTGAACGCTGGTGGTACGACTATTCCAGAGAGTGATGGTACGGTTGAGGCAGATAGCTCAATCGGAGATCTGCACACTGAGCTCGACTATGACAAAGTCCGATCCTGCACCCACCAGATCCATGGTATTTTGTAGATGCATCAGTGCATGTATGCATGTCAGTTGGCCATCTGTCTCCTGGATGATTGCATCTGTGTAGCAAAGAAACTGTGCTTGTTTAAGGTGTATGTGAATGTTGCTGCGACGGAGGTTTGGGGGCGTTCCACTATGCCTAACATAGTGTCCGGTGCTAGTCTGTCATGCCGTATTCCACCTTCAGAGCTAATCATTGCCTTCTCTTAGCCCCAAAATCCCTGACGCCCGTTGGTTCAACCACCCACGCACACATGTATGCACGCACAGTCACACACATACTTGCACCGGCACAGACACACAAATGCACATTTGTTTGTGAAGAAAACATACATACACACACTTATAGCTGTATGTGGTTCAGATCGAGGGAGAAGCACAATCGAAAAGCGCCTGCGTGTACGCATCGGACTTGCACGCACGTGCGCACACACACAGAAACACACATATCCAGCCGCCTTAGTAACCGTCCGATCTTGCTGTTTCGCGTACAAGCGCGACGCAGGCTCCGGAGGAAGCAACGTGTTGTGTTGAGGCTCATAACAGTTGACCGACTGTGAATCGATCAATCTGTTTGGTATAGATAGATAGAGAGCCGCGTCCACTTACCCGAATCAATCCGTGTCTGTGACGGTCCTTTGTGCGTATACTCGAACGATATTATCCGTTCTGGATTTTATTTTCCAGTGATCGCCACACCCAGACCAATTCGGACGGGATGAAACCTCACAAATTCATCCCGGGCCGAACTCAGATAAGGGAAATCTGGATTTTGAGCACTCTCCTAGTTGCAGCTATTTGCTTTGCTAGTCTCCTGGGGAGTACAGACGCAGCAGCTGTGAGTCAATCCAACTTTCGATTTATCTGTTGTATACATTCAAGTGTAGCATGTAAAAAACGAGCAAAATGCTCAAGAAATTTTTTCCTCATTTTTGATTCGAATCGTTCTATACGTAATAACGGTTTGCTTGTCTTTCACCCACATATTTCTTTCAACCGATGTTAAAACGGAATCGTGGACCAATAGACCTGCATTCCGTCACCAAATTGTACAGAATGTACCTGTGTGGGCATACCCGGACAGAAGGTGAGTCACTTTCCCGTACTCTTGCCTGTGCTTGAAACAGCTTCATCTGTCGGTTTTCACGAGAACAACAGAGTTGAGTATGAACCATGTCCGTTCTAAGTATTAATGTGTATACTGCATTTACATGACCAGGATAGCTAGTAAGCGGTATATTTGAATAAATTCATGCGTATCAGGTAATCAGTGCCAGAGGGAAAATATGAATCGTATAAGGAGATGAATAATGAACATGTAATGTGTAAGATATATGCATGTTTAACTGATAGATATGAAGGGAGGTAATGAGCATTTACAAATTATAGCCCGTGTTTGCTTTGTTTCTATGCATTCTAAGATATCTAGTTTGGACAGAAAGCAGGCGACCTAGCTATTGATGGATGGCACACTGTTTAACTATTTGGAACGGTTGCGTTATAAATCAAAGAACTATTATTTCAATAGCATGAGGGAAGCAAGGTTATTAGGGGGAAAATAAGTTGTTTGATGTATTGCGCATGACAGGTGAGAGCCCATCCACCTATTTGGAAAACAATCCACCAGTTTTTGAATACATATCTTGGCTTCTATTTGGCAATCCCTCGAGTGAAACGTCGCATTTTGCAACCAAGTAGCTGATTTCAAGAAATTTTAGTTGACAAGAATTAATTTTCCGTGTGAACACGGTGAACACAGATGGTTACTTTAGTAGGCAGTTATCTATTATATAATATATATGTAGTTATATTTCAAATAGAGCAAGGAGTGGCCGACAAGCTCGTTTTCAGTGATTCGTAGTCATGCCAAATACATCACAATAGATACCACGCTGTTTATATATAAATCGGTATTCAACCATAAAAACGCAAACTTGGCCCCAGATAACCCATGCGGTTATTTTCCCTTTCCCGAAACATTTGTTTGCGTTTTTGTGGTAGAATACTGATTTGTATATAAACAGCGTAATATTTATTGTGATGCATTTGGCATGACTACAAATCACTGAAAACGAGCTTGTTCGCCACTCCTTGTTCTATTTGAAATGTGCTCTGTCGGACTATTTAGACAATATGTAGTTATATTTGCAAAACTAATTCAGTGATGAAAATAAAAAACTTAATTCTCCGAGTGTTTTTGCCATTATTTCTTGATACTATTTTACAGCAACCCATCTTACTTACAAGTATGGGAAAATCTTTTTCCTTTTTAGTAAATCATCTAGGATTTTGTGTGCCAAACGAAGTTGAGTTCCATTACAGCCAGTTCAATAAGAAATATCTAATGAAAAAGGCGGATGATTTTAAATTAACTCATCTGCGTAGTAGTTCACGGTCTGTTGAACCAAAGTACAATAAAGCATATTGAAGATTAGTGCCAATTATATCTATCATGCGTAAAAATGCAACTGTTCTTTGAGAATTAACCATTAAGATAAACATCTAGGTAAAATACAAGCGCTAATCCAATAAGCGCAGTAAAAAAGCGATAGTAAAAGTGGATTATAAGTACATCTGATAAAATTGGAAATTTGTAGATAGTGTTTCTGTTCTTCCGGTATGGAGTTGAGATAGTTTTGTTCGACCTATCACAGGAGCTTCTTATTGGAAATGAGTTCTGAAAAACATTACTTTCTCAGTGCTGTTGTACTAAATTTAGGTCAGTTTATTACCCTTGATATGGGCTATTTGTTCAGAATACCAGTCATACTAGATGAGCAAACATTACAGTAGAACCAATGACAATGCAATAGCCCAAGAAGTAAATCCGATAGTGTGCAACTGCTCGATTGAAAACCCCGATTTCATACTATCACCTGAATGTCAAGTAAATGGTTCTCTTTTCGTCAAGTGGACGACTTTTCCATGTTAAGACAACTAATTTTTTGATTACGACACTGGTTTCTGACAGAGAGAGGGAGTAATGAGATAAATTCTTCCCCCAAAGGTTCAGTTGGATTTAAACAAAATATCTATCTCTTCTTCCTCAACTAGGGTGATCCAGGTGTTCGGGGTCATGCTGGTCGACCGGGTGCAGTCGGTCCTCGTGGGCCACCAGGAGCACCTGGTCCGGAAGGTGTACGCGGTATTCCAGGTATTCCCGGTGACCCAGGTCCCAAGGGTATTGCTGTAAGTTCAACTCAGTTCCTATTCCTGTTGGTATAATAACGCCTCTCTTCTCATCTCTCAAAGTTATAATAATCGCATTTGTATATTGTTTAGCTATCTTTAGGTCATATAGTATAAATAAATATTTTAGATGAGAAACTCTTTGATGAATCATATTTTGAAACCTCATGAGTAAACTTCAGTTTTATTGAATGTCAACAATACGAGGTAGTGTATTCAAAGAGTGACAAAAGAAACTTGAAGACAAGGGGACCTGAGTTTCTTTGGGGTTAACTGACTGTTATTTAAAAAATGATTTAGGGCCAAAATGGAGTTTGCAAACAAGTATTGCTTCTAAATTTTCTGTCGGAATATCCCATCAGTGAAATATGGTAACCAAAGAGACAACTTCCAATGGACTGCACGCTAAGAAAGTACTAACTTTACTGTTATTTTCAATTACTCTTATTGCTATTCAATGCAGAGCATGTGATATTTAAATTTTCTTCACATTCGCAGGGTGACAAAGGTATTCCCGGCGTGCCTGGCGTCGACGGTCTGAAGGTGAGTTCACGAGGGTTATTTCGCTGAACTATGGAATCTTTCTTCAAGACAAATGATCTACTGTCAATTTGTTAGTAGTTCAGTGAGAAAACACTCAAAAAACGATTTTATCTGGTTCCGTATGCGCAAATATCATTTCCCTATTTGCTTGGCGTCCATTAAACTTGCCATTTGAATAAAATATTGATAGCTGCTCATTATTTTACAGAATATGACCGATAGTGCTATCTTATGTATGTATTTCTCATATATATATATCTAATATGTATATTCTATACATGATAATTATTTAATTGTGCTATATCGTGTAAATGGAAAATGAAAAACGGCCTGATCAGCTGCTCGGTGGCGTCGTGGGTAGCACCCTTGCGTTCTGCCCATGAAGTCCCGGGTTCGATCCCCAGTCGGGTCGATGTATTCGCACTGCTGTCGAGACCCAACCAGGTCAGAACAGCTGTCCAGTGCTTCCGAGCTTTTCGGTTCACTCTTCATTTGCTATATACACGACGAATTCATATTTGAAATTTAACCAAATCCTCCATTACTCACATGAAATTATTTTATTATTATTATTATTATTAATTATTCTACAACAAATTCATTAAATATTAAAAGTTTATCATTGTAGAATCAGGCGTTTTATACATTTTAGATCGGTGTTGTTAGATGGCAACTAATTGATGATTTCCTTTCCTAATAATCCCATGAAAGCGTTCAAGAAAGAAATTATTTATTCACTTTTTGTTGAGAATTAGAAATTTTGGGAGTTAAATTAACTGTAAGTTTTCACCACTTTCTGACACAACGCAAAGCAGTTCTTGTTAAAAAAGTCAATCGTTTTATATCTATAATTATTTATTCATAATTGGAAATTTTCTGAATGATTTTTATTTTCCAGGGTGCTGCCGGCATCAAAGGTCCAAAAGGTTATCCGGGAGACGAAGGATGCTGTGGTGCAAAAGTGAGTGAGATGGTTCTATTAAAATTCATTTAAAAATTTCGTTAATGTTTTACACTCATTGAATGTCTACTAAAATTTTATGTTGTTTCTACGTTTTTATTTCAGGGACCAAAAGGTTTGAAGGGAACACCCGGAGGTTACGGATACGATGGACTCTTAGGTGATAAAGGTTTTAAAGGTCAAAAGGTGCGAAACTTTTCTGATCCATGTTACAATCAAATTGATAAATTTTCCCATTTAAACTACCTGCTACCATTCCTCGTATAACTTTTTATTCTGCAGGGTGATAAAGGTGAACCGGCACCTTTCGACAGCGAGGCTGGAATGGGTCAACCAGGTCCGAAAGGTGAGCCCGGCATGCCAGGACCAAAAGGTGCCCGTGGCCAAATGGGTGCCAAAGGTGAACGGGGTCCACACGGTCCAAAAGGTTACGAGGTGCGTCGTGTCGACGATCGTTTCGTTATTTATATTTATTAGCCATCAACGAGAAACTCACTGATGGAAAACGTACACAGTAAATTGCTTCCTGCTCTCGAGCGACAGCATATTCCTATGCATCCGATATGGAACGGCTGCAGTTCATGCGTCTACTTCTAGCAATGGGACCAAAACAAGTACACCTTAAAGGAAGGCGCTATTTAACTATTTCATCCTGTAAATTTATATTGTTATGAATTTCTAAAATACAGAATTCGGAATTAAGATAACCGGTGACCAATTGTGTAACAGAAAAGATAATGCTCTAGGGTTTTACTTTTACTTGTTGTTTCTTCTAAAGTAATTTTTTCTTCCATTTTCTCTGTAGGGTCCCAAAGGCGAACGTGGTGATATGGGTCTGAAGGGTCCCAAAGGTGAAACGCCACAACCGATTGTCCCTCCCTATGTAAGTCTAGTTGTTAACCAATATTTATTGTGTAGATCGCAAATGCGAAAAGAATATAACCACTCTAGGATAGGTACATTGAACGAACACTAACGTATAGTAATTCTACTGGTCCGTTAAAAATTATTTTGATGAACCTAAAAACGCTCTACTGTTCTTCATGTACAATGCTGAAACAAGTGTTTCTTGGTGCATTTTTCTTTCGAAAATTACTATTACTAGGTTATTTGCAGTAAAGAAAAACATCTTATCAATGGATTTGAAGGCACTGTGAAATTGTTTTCATCCCAATATTTAGCCAAGACCCTGAGAAGGATTCTTATCTGGTTATCTGAAAGGAAATCGCGCACAGCATGGAGACATCTTGCTTAAAGAAAAATTTAAAATGTTCATTACTTCTGAACCGCACAACCTAAATTTAGTTCAGCGCCAAAGCAGCTTCAACGGTGTTTTACTTCTGCAGTGAAAATTATTCATGCAGAAATTTAGCAGTGAACAATGAACGGGCACAGAGTTGTTAAATACTAAACTGAGTGTCCGTGGAGCCCACTCCATCAAAAAGCACAATTACTCTGGGTGTAGTATAATTTCCATGATTTTCGCGGCATTCCGAAGTATTTTGTCTCATGTCGTACATTAGCACCAGCTCCGTCTTTTCTGATTACAGTCGAGAGATGACAGCTGATGCGTGACCTTTACACACGTTTCATCTAGGTGGAAAATACTTGCATTAGAAAAAAAATATCACCAAAAATTTCTCCGATGTAAAACAGGCCACCATTATATCAAACTTTTCGCAAATAGTTTTATTTAATAGAATGTGTTTTCGGTTTACTCCAAACTGATAATTTGACTTCTTATTTTTGCAAGTTAAACTGGAGGGAACTAAGCATCGCGTGTTCGATTCGTGCAGAAAAGAAGCCACATCTGAGACAGACCAATTATTCAAGTGACTTGCCTCGAATTGTTTACTTTCCGTTTAACCATAAATCATTTTTCCTCAGTTTGCCTTTTAATCTCCACATTGTGTTCCTTTCAAATTAGCCGGACAAAGGAAGCAAAGGTATGAAAGGTGAAAAAGGCACATCGTACGACGAGACACCACTTAAAGGTCAAATGTGAGTTTTGAAGTTGTTGCCATTTTCATGCATTTGATTGATTTATCCCGTTTCTATCAGACTGTGAATAATCGTCAGTTGCATGGCATATCTGAAAATATTGAAGCATGCTCATGGAATGTGGAGATGAGGGTTCATGCATTACAACTAACCAACGACTTAAGTTCGCCATGCTTCACCCAGTCGAGTTAATATTCACTTCATCCACAGTAAGTCAGCTGATCGCAGTTCGTGGTCGACAAAAGCTCAATAGGAGACGATTAATCTCAACTCAGTTTTCAACTACTTTTTCAACACTTCAGTAGGCTGAATTGAATTGTGCATAAACGAGTTGTTGCCCCAAGTGCTACTGCAATCTCGACCGGCATGAACAGCCGCCAACGGGTTTGTGCGAATCAACTGTCGGTCTGATCATCTCCCTAAAATGCGAGTAAGCAATAGGCACACATTGGATTCTCCGGTCAACAAATGTATGTGCACTACTGTTTAGATGCAAAAAGTTGAGGCCCTTCTGCAGAGATCACGATTTGTCTAGTTTGTGATAAGCTGCTAATGTGACCATGAACTGAAAATGATGCTCTCTTTCATTGTAAGACATTTTTAAATTCAGAGACTATGAGATTATTCATCATTATTCTATCAAATGTATTTTATGAACTTCAGGAGCAACCACCCTCGAAAGTATGACCGTTGAATTTACAAATATAGCTGGTTGGTCTCCAACTGATAACGGAAGTATTTCATTGTCATTAATGTCTAAAACCGTGGAAGGAAACAAGTTGTGCTGAAATCAAACCAGAGTTAGTTGGCATTCAGAACATTTTTGAGCCAAACATTTTCGCGAGGGAAAGTGTATCAGATATTAGTTTTATTTCCTTCACAAACCTAGCGGAGCATTTGAGTAAAATATCCACTGGCTACAAATTTTCTCATCCTCTTCTAGCAAATTCATCGTTTAACACACTGTTTTTTTGTTTTCTTTTACACGCCTGCGTGTAAAGTATTGGCAAAAAGGGTATTGCTGGTCTGCCTGGCTTACGTGGTGATCCGGGAGATGCTGGTGAAAAAGGATATCGCGTGAGTTAAAGGTTAAACCATTGCTGCTGTTTTCATAACAGGATACATGAACGTTGGATGTGTCAAAGTCAAAGTCAAAGTTTTATTATGGGAATAGCTTACAAGCTGGTGCTTCTCTTG